CATGCACCACTCTAATGAAACTAGCAAGCTTAAAGAGTTAATATTGAAATAATGAATGAGCATTACCGGGTAGTTCACCGTAACAATCATGGGACCCTATTAGAGTCAGTTTGTAAAATACTGGCAAGGCCCCCGATACACCAAGATTTATTGGTCACAACCACGTGAGGGTTAGGAGAGGGTTAAGAGCCGAGTATGACAATCATATTACGGTCCCGACTTTAGGGACAACTGGGTGTCTGTTTCAGGATAGTAGCCTGTGACAGCATACCTCAGTCATCTCTCCGCGTGGTGGGTTGGTGTACGGGGGCCGGCGGCCGTATCGTCTACGTACAAAGTATGGTGGGTAGCGCCGTCTGCCAGGGTACGTGGGTCTGCGCTGCTGTTGCTGCGAGTCTCCTTCAGGGGCATTCTCTCCACCCTCTCTGCTTTTGTCACGTCCTCCGCTGCCTTGTTCACCCTCTCCATCACTCTGGTAGTTCTCTGGATAGTCTCCTCCACGGGGAGGGCCCCTCCTTCGGGGGTACCGCCTATAGCGGTTCCTGTCAGCAGCATACTTGCTTCCCTGGACTGCAACACCTCCTGGGCCGGTGACATTTGCAGCCTCTGCTCCCTGTGTTCGCAGTAAGATGTTTTTTATTTTTTTTAAACTAGAGAACATTCATGGGATGTTTTCTTTAGAAGCTGGCAGACTACAAAACCAAATTACTAACCAAAGAACAGCTTACCTTCTCTCCCTCGACTACATCAAACTCCACAGTTTCTCCATCTCCAACACTGCGAAGATATTTTCTCGGGTTGTTCTTTTTGATGGCTGTCTGAAATCATAATGGTTCACATTTAAAATGTTTCTAATCATCATAATCATCTGATTTTGGTTTAAATTGTGAAAAGAAAAAAAAAACATTGCAAAGCTTACCTGGTGTACAAAAACGTCCTCTTTTGTATCATTCCTATGAATTTAAAGAAAAAGGAAGAGAAAAAAAAAAGAAGCAGAACACCATTAGAAGTATCCTACGGAGCCACAAAAAGCAGTGATGCCTCTGCAGACTACAACAAAGCGAATGAGTGTAAGGATTAACAGATGCATGCAACCAGAGTTTGGAGACGTGTAGATAATTCATCTGAGCAGCTTTGTAAGAGAATCATAGCCATAATAGGATTGGGAATGTTGCTTCACACACTCACACTGTTGTTATCAGGGTCTATGGAAAGAAGGGATGTGTGGAGTCAACTTACCTGTTGATAAACCCATATCCATTCCTGACGTTGAACCATTTGACTGTACCCAAGACTTTTGTTGCTGTAAAGAAAACAAATTATGATATATTACTGATCATTTTAGATGCATCTTGGTATTTAATAAGACTTCTAACAATGACAAAGTGTAAAATAAGAACAGACCATGAGAAAGTGACACATTTAATGTGTAAGTTAAATATAACTCCCAACTGTCATTCTTATTATAGATCCTGGCGCTTAGGAGTGTCTTGTGCCAGCTGAATTTGGTGTGAGGTAAGCACCATGAACGAGTACCACGAACGAGTACCGACTAGATTACTTCTCGGGTAAATTTCAAGACTGCCCCTATTTTTAATGTCCCCGTCTGCTGTAATGCCACCCAAATCAAAGATTTCAATATCATCATAGCAGGCCGCTGTAGCTAAACACATTGACTTTTAACTACAGCAGACCTACTGCCCCATTTTAGACGCACTACTGAGCGTTCACACGTGGTAGAGTCGCGCCCGGATATGTTAGCGAGCCCAGCTGGCTTGTTAGCATAGCTATGTAGCTGAGATGGTCTGAACCATGTGCTTGGATTACTGCCAGCAGGCGGAAATGAACATAACACATCGGACAGCTTCTATTGTGACCAACTGCTTAGAACGTTAAAAAAATTAAAATAAAATAAAAAATGCCACGGTTATACTGGTTTCAATTAACAGCCAAGGAAATGGCGAAAGAAATCAGCGGAATACACGGCGGACATTTTGGATGGCCTCTTTAGCCATGTAAATAGCTCAAGCTAGCTGGCTAGGCTAATATAGCTTGGCAAGCAACCGTCGGTCGATCACTAGGCCCCATTGAGACCTCATCAATTCCACCGAAAATAGTCGACCATTGACAGTTGTACTATGGTGCTTTTCTGATCAAATCCAAATATAAATCGCTGCTAATTGTAACAGTGAAAAGTTTGAATATAGTTTCGACTGTTTTAGATTATTTTTTTTAAATCTTTCACCGGGGAGCAAGACTCGTGCGAACAAAGGATGGCAAGTCGCTAACGCTAGCTTGATTTCGATATAATTTGTAACCGGTTAAGCCATTTGATATCTCGGTGTTCCACAAATATGGCATTAAAGTTCACTTTAATACATCATTTCCTGCCTGCTTAAAAAGAGCACCGACGTTGGCATATACACACAGAATCTGATAACGGGCAGAAACCTTTTAGTTTACGTGACGGCCGACCGGTACCAGAGCATTCTATGGCGTACGTTAGACGCGAGGAGGCCAATGAACATAAGGGATTAAGTCTAAAATACCTCATTTAAAAAGAATACTCACATGTCTTCTAAAATTATTTTAATATGAAGGCCAAAGTGTTAGCTATTAAAGAATGAATAAGCAGCGGTCTATAAAAACTATAAAAAGCTTGCGCCGTCTAGCTTCCAACCGATACTTTAATTCTGTATCGCCAGCACGTAAACGTTTAGCGTTTTTAGGCACCAAAAGAAAATTATTAAACTTCAAGAATGCTTCTCGTTAGTAAAAGCCAATACACTGAATAGAACACAGCCCATGAAATAATAATTTTAGCCAAAGGGACCAAAAAATATACTGGGTCCCGTTGGCTAAAATAAAAATATCTCTAATGTTAATGTAACAGTGTAATTTAACATGTGCTAACGTTGTGTGGCTCAACGGTCGTGTCTAACGAACGTTTTTTAGTTTACAGTATACTGAGCTGTGGATCGAGTTGACAACCTTACCTGCCACCACTTTTGCGCATTGCCCCTGTGCCATAAAATACGTTAGCTATCTAGTTAGCTTAACTAGCTCCAGCAGTCTTACCGATGACCTTCTTATCCCCCGCGGAAGCTGCGGCTGCCGGGCTGGATGGGCTCTCCGCATCGGCAGCAGGCTGCGGCGGTTGTTGCTGTGTCTCGGCCTCGCTGCTCATTGTTACTTGTTGGTAATGGCTTCAGCCGGCGGCGGCTCTTTGCTATAGTTCCCGGTGCTAGATGGTAACCTGGGCCGGCGGTGGTGGGGGCTACTGCCTTCGGGCTCTCTGCTTTCCTCTTTCCGCTCCCGTTGCCGATCGAACTGGGCAGAATGAGATGAGGTGCCGGAGAACGTTCCTACTCGGAGGTCCGCCCAACTGCCATTCTAATTGGTTGGAAAGTGTAACAGGAAACACTCGCGTTCCAATTAGCCTGAGCAACTGTCAATTTCGCTTCAGAAACGCGTTGGGTAAAATGATTGGGTAAAGGAAACCGTACCTGTCCATTCTCACCACCCCTTCATGATGTCAGAGCCAGACGAATCAGACCACATAACCGTGACAGTTTTGGAACAGTGTCTACTTGGTAAAATCATGTTCTGCTGACAGACCTGGAGCTAATATACATATAGTTTAAAATATAATTGTAGTTATCATTATGCAATACATAAAACTGCATGGAAATATTTCAAATTATCGTGTGTTAATCGCACAGGGGGCAAAGGAAAGTCAACAGCTGAATATTCTGCTTAAGAGATCTAGATTCACGGGTCCATTAAGAAGAAAAACGATGCCTGAATGTTTAAAGTATTTTCAGTTTCATTGTGCACGCTAGTTAAATTAAAAATAAAAAGGTGCATCTATATATATAAAAAGAGGGGTAACTGATAAAGTAATCCATGTTACTTATTACACCTAAGCATTTAAAAAACTAATAATCATTTAACATTTCTGGAAATCTTAATTACCTTAGTCACACCATAATTATCTTTGACTGTCAAAAATTACATCACAGTTTAAATAAGCTGTTTCTGTAAATCATTTAATTATTAACCTTAAACCAAATCTTAGCAGAAATAATGACAAAGTAAGTCAGGTAATTTTCTATTTTAACTGGTTAAAGCCAGTCATCATCCTGTGTGAATTTAGAAACCCCACTTCCAGAGCAGCCGGGCCCAGACTGAGTGTAGGACAACCCCACCACAGCCTCCCCCCCTTCCATTGTCATGTTAATGCTCCACTGGCACTGTTTACGAGCACTGGTCGATGTGTGAAGAGCTTGCGGTTAATGTCTGAGCACCGTTGTCCCATACACAAAGATGGGCTTTAGCAACGACCCCAGAAAGCTTCCCAACAGAGATCCCCCTTTCAAAAAAAATGGGGGGGAAAAAGCCTCCTTCCTGCCTCCATAAGAACAGCGTCTCCATCTGAAAAGCTTCTTTTATGCCAAGGGAACGATGTCCAAGGCCGAGGAGGGAGAGCATGGATGGGGGAGGGGGTCTGTGGAGGCTTAGATCGGTATAGATGGCTGAGATAGAAGAGGTAGCCATAAGTTCAGCAGACGAGTGCTTGGCACTGGAGTGCTTGCCATGGAAGATGTGTTTCACTGTAAAGTGGTCCTCTCATTTCCTCCATAACTTTGAGGTTAAGATCAATTTTTAATCAAAGGCACTATAAGGAAACAGAGCTAGTAACACTTACCAAAGCAGCTCAGATTACTCTGGGTACACAATGTTCTTTCAAAGTTTGGACACTGCTACAGTTTCTCAAACACACATTAAGTTGATAAAGTTTAATCATCAGGTAAATCTGATTATTACAGATGTGAATTATTGAATTATTATTAGAGGGACTATTTATAGTTGGCTTTCACTACTTTCTAGACTATATCCAATGGTCAGTATTGCAACATTTGACACCCTTTGACACTTAATGAAATCCTTTTGAATAATTTGATATAAAAAGAATCTGCAGCATTTATAAAAATGTACAGAAATTTATTGATTGGAAATAACACAAAGTATGACCACCATCCAATTCTTTGTTCAATTAAAAAAAGAAAAAAGGTACACAAACAGTCTTAATTTGGACTTGACAGAACAACAGCAATGAAGCAATGAATTTAAAACAAATGCAGTCTGAAACCAAATAAATACATCAATGTCCACTACTGGTCATTGTAGGAATCAGTGTGTTAATGTTTTCTGAAGAGTAACAAGTCACAATTAAGACATTAAAAGTATACAGAGGCTGTGTAATGTTGGCATGGTGTTTAGCACATGTCGGCTCACATCTCTCCACACTGTGCAATGACGATGGGGAGTTTAGGCTTGTTGTTGGGCCCTGTTGGGACATTCTGTAGGAAGAAAGTGAAACACGTTTAGAACAAAAATGCAACTCTAAAGCTGTAATCTAAGCACTACATCCAACTACGGTGATTTATATGGACTTGTACGAGTTACAGGTTTAATTATTTGTTACATAAACATTACGTTATAAAAGATTAAACTGTAGGTGTTAGTATTAGGCTGGATACCTGCTTTAAAAAAAGGTCTTGAAGCCTTAAACATCACAGATGTAAAGTGATGAGTGTTTACAAAAGTCAACATTTTATTGGGTTGTGTTCATTTATTTCCCAAAGAAAGGCATTTCAAAATTAATTTTATGTAAGAATTTATTCATTTTACTATTATTATTTGAGCATTTTGGCTCTATTAGATAGCACAACAGAAAACAGACAGGAACGTGCAGAAAGAGAGCGGAAGAATTGTGAGAATTTCTTAAATTTAAATGGTAATGCTACATTTTAGCTTAAATTTTTTTCATGGCTATTCTCCCCCTTTGAAGTTTTTTAGCTTAGTGTACAATGTCTCTGTCAATTTACTCCTACCAAAAGAACCACAAATACAAATCTGTCCGTTTAAACAAATATGGTAGATTTATAGGGAAGATAAGTTCTTACCTCAATTTTTCTCATGACCAGCAAGCCATCAACCAGTTTTCCTGTAATAATTACAAGACAATTCAACTCTGACACAGACAATACAGTAAAAAAATGCAATACTGTTGATTTACTCACCAAACACAACATGTTTCCCATCTAGCCAGTCACATTTAGTGCAGGTAATAAAAAACTGACATCCATTTGTTCCTGGACCACTGTTTGCCTGTAATATGATACAATATTAAAACAGACACATTTTGGTTAGGGTGATTTACCTGAAGTGTATCCGTGGAGATTAAGCCATCCAGTAGGAGTTTAACCCAATCAACTGGTAACATTTTCAATCACTATACTGCAAGATAAAATGTAAGTAGATTTATCAAAACACGTACCATTGAAAGAAGACCGGCAGCAGAATGCTTTATTCTGAAGTTTTCATCTGCAAATGGACCTCTATAGATGCTGCAGATACCTGTTCCATCACCCTGCACAAAAGATTAATAGTACATACAGTAGTAAGTAGGGGCTCATAAAGAAAGCAATAGATTAGGAAATTTTAAATGTGTTGTAATATGCTGCATAACCACCAGAGGGGGAAACACCAATGTGGTATAAATCTGCTCAGTTCAAGTCAATAGTTACCATGGCAAGATTTAATCAACAAATTCTCAAATTCACAAAGCGTTTGTGCAAATCTTCCAGACACAGTCAAAAGACAACCATTAAACTATGGATATTTGTGTTGTCAATCCTATGGATATACTTACATTTACAAAGTCTCCTCCCTGTATCATGAAGTCTTTGATCACCCTGCCAATGACCAATGGAAAAAGAAAATATCAATTCTGCTAAAGAAAACCTCACAAAAGTTAACAAATATATGAAAAGTATTACAGTCTAACTGTAATAGACAGCAGATTACAAATGTATGCTGTCAAAGGAGCTTGCAAAGAAAAGCGTCTGGACTTCTTTAAGTTGCTTGAAGACGTTTCACCTCTCATCCGAGAAGCTTCTTCAGTTCTAAGGTCAAATGGTGGAGAGTCCCAGATATAAACCTAGTGGGAGTAACCCCCCACAGAGGGACAAAAGGACCCCCTGATGATCCTCTAATCGCCTGAGCCAAGGTGTGAAACTGGGTGTGGGTCCCAATCAGCCAGAGTTTCAGGTGTGTTCATTGTGAAACCTGGCCCCACCTTATCATGCGAATTCCTGAGGTCAGATGGCCCAGGATGTGAGTGGGCGTTAAGGCGTCTGGGAAGGGATCTCAAAACTGGATTATAGATGGCAGAGAGTTGGTGTCGTAAACCCCCGCCTCTGTTCAAAGATGGTCGCTCACAGTGGACATAGATGGCTTCTTTCACTCCTCTTTCAAACCATCTGTCCTCTCTGTCCAAAATGTGAACATTGGCATCCTCGAAAGAGTGTCCTTTATCCTTAAGATGCAGATGGACTGCTGAGTCTTGTCCTGTGGAGGTGGCTCTTCTGTGTTGTGCCATGCGCTTGTGAAGTGGCTGTTTGGTCTCTCCAATGTAGAGGTCTGAGCATTGCACTGTACAGCATACACCACATTGTTAAGTTTGTGTTTTGGCGTTTTGTTTTTCGGGTGAACCAGTTTTTGTCTGAGCGTGTTGCTGTTCTTTGCAAGCTCCTTTGACTACGATGACCTGGATGACTGAGAACCTTCACAGACACAAATGTATGCTCTTTTCCATTTTCGAAGAGGCAGTGTAGCATTGCAAAAGTTTTCTAAATGACACTATGAATCACATAACAGATGTGCTAGTCTTGTCATCATAGACCCTTCGTTAACACGGTACATTTCTTCTGTAACTATAGCGCAGAATATCATCTCAGCTTTGCTGCTGTAGTGTACACACTTCATAAGTCAAACACCAGAGTTTAATGTAAGCTACAGAAGTCAAGCTGCCATGTGAGTACCTGTGGAATGTGCAACCTTTGTAGCCAATAGGAACGCCATCTTTCCTAAAAAGACAGGAGTCAGTGAGAAAAGAAAATGAAGTAAGCAGTAAAATACTTTAATGTACAAACTGTGTCAACTGTCTCCTTGAAACGAAGTAGATTTGTCTATGTTTGTGATTCAGATTTTCACAGTAAATGGGCCAGCATGAAATATAGTACATCTGGAAAGTATTCACAGCACTTTCTCTTGTTCCACATTTTCTTATGATACAGCCCTATTTCAAATATTATTCTTGGAAATTCATTTAAAAAACAAAACAAAAGTATTCGCAGCCTTTGTCATAACACTCAAAACTGTTATGGCAAACCAGGAGACTAATCAGGTTTGAAGGAAAGACGAATGCAGCATTGTACAGAGTCATCCTTGATGATAACCTGTTTCAACAGAACAGCAACCCAAAGTACAAAGCTAACATATCTCAACCCCTCATTAGGCTAGCTATCTTAACTGTCCATAGACAGGAGTGATTTCCTAACTTTTCCTCACCGGCCGCTAGCTACCTTATGGTTGTCTATCCTGAACCCGAGACTTCATCACTGATCGAGCATCATACCACTTACTTTTCAGTAAGGCGGAGGGGTTTTTTGTACAGTTTAGCACACCAGCTAACTGATTGCCTTTGTTGTAAACATCCCAGCAATCAAAGATATGCACTTTTTTCCCCCTCACACCAGAGGAAGCAGAGAAACTAGGGCTCTACTCTTCGTTTGCAGCAACAAATTTTCAATTACGGACACACACACCAGGTCTCAGACCACCAGATCACATTATGAAGGGAAGAAATTGCCCCAGGCCACCAGGGCGGCAAAGCAGTTACTCATGTAACATGGGGCTTCTTCCCTGGATTTTGAGGGCACAGAGAAGCATGGCTTACTTTCACTTCCTATGATAAGTCGGAGCCCACCTCCATCCACGGCTGGCTACGGGCTCCTCCAGGAGTTCCACATTTTCATTGTGAATGAAAGGGCCTACAAAGTGGCGGCTTTAGCGGTAAGAGCACTGAAAATTACCTCCATGTTAGCTGCTTACCAAGCAGAGGTCTATGTGAGGCCAATGCGACTAGGACTGACTAATGTGTGGGAAGAGATCACTGTGATCACAGACATTTATCTTTGCATACAACGCTGCACAATCCAAGCCACATTTCAGGACTGTTCTGGGTTCCATAAGGCATAGATGTGAGACGGGGAAGCAGGAGGATGAGGTCTCAATCTCCATCTTCCCAGAAAACTGAGCCGACACCACCTCCGACCCCATGACAGACCTTTGCTCAGGCAGTCACCCAGCTTCCCACTCAGTTCAAGATCCCAAAACAAGGGCTGGTAAGCCACAACTCAGACAGCAGTTCCACCGGGACAACCCGCGTAGCAGGTAAGTCAGCAGCTCAGGAAAAAGAAGAGTGTGGCCTGACATTCCCCTGCCATTTTATCAAAGAGTACTCCAAGTTACTGCCTGTCTTCTGGCCTCGTGCACTCAGTTTGCTCTAGGGCAGACCAGGGTGTAACTGAAGCCCAATCTGGCCTATGTGGAATCTGGAATCTCCGTTTTCCATAATGGGACATCAAAACAAATGCTAGGAATGAGAACTTTAGGCTACTTGTGTAACCCCAGTTCTCAAAGTAAAATGAGTAAGATGTCTCAATAGACAAGCCCTTCTTGCTAAGGAAAGGCAAGAAGAGGTGCTTATCCTGAATAACAGCTACGTAAGCATAAGTTACTAAAGGATAGGTGGTTCTGCCCAACGTGGGTTTTACAATTAGGGCTGGGCGATATGGCCTAAAATCCATATCACGTATAATTTGAAGCACGTGCGGTAACTATATATATCGCGATATATTATTTTCTTCTGTATAACGTATTTTCAATAAGGCACACTTAAAATCCTTTAATTTTCTCAAAAATCGAGAGAGTGCCTTATGTATGAATTCTGGTTGTGCTTACTGACCTCGAACCGATTTGGGCGTGCAGAAATCTGTTAAAAAATGTTTTAGTACAACTTTGGTAAGCTGCACTGCTTAATGGATTGTCAGAGCATTACGGCTGCCGTAGTGAGGAGCTTCGCGTAGTAATCTGGGTGCAAAACGCCATGGGTTCAGGTCCCAAAGTCAAACGAACACTGAGAGTTAAAAACGGTCTAAATTCTTTCATCTTTAATAAAATCATCAGTGTTGCTGCTTTACCAGGTGTAACAATTAAGTTTAACATCCAGGCATCCATGAAAACAGAATTTATTAAATTTAACGGAGTTAGAAGTTAACAGGAAGTTAGCTCGCTAGTTTCCACCTAAACATTTCATACCCTGTTCTGACAGAAATTTCTGAAACTAATTAAAACGTACAGCTCTGCTACCACTTCCAACATAAATGAAGACAGAAAACTAATCAGCAGTGGCGTTTGCAGGGTTACTGAAGTTGAACTACCTGGTATATGTTGTGCTATGTGATTGCTAGCGACACAGCTATGTTAGCATAACATTAGCACAGTGAAGCTGGAGGATGAACGCCAAACGTTTTTTCCACTCGATAAAAGTTAACGTGAGGGATTCTGGTGGTTAGGGACAAATGCAATCGCATAGCAGGATTCTATAAACTTCAGTCAGGAGAACAACTGAGATTTTTCATCCACAATACAAGGTTAGTTATTAATATACTGCAACAACATGGGAATAGAGCAGCTGCGAGAGAATTCAACATTAAGGAATCAATGTTACGGAAGTGGAGGAAGCACAGTTTTTGGCTTTCCCCATATTTCAGAAGTGCTTCATCTCTTTGCTATGACTGTCGCCCAGCATAATTTGCAGACGATAATGGTTGTAGCCGCTGTGATGCTTTCGACCAAAACAGGCGCAGCTGGATGACATCATCAACATGCGCTATTGCGGTAGAGCGTATAGTCAAAATCTCTATCGTTGGCCAAATTTATATCGTTTCTATCGTATATCGTTTATATCGCCCACCCCTAGTTACAATCACCAGCCAATCAAGATTAGTGGAATGAGATAAATGCTCATCTCAGGGAGGCACATCCCATTGTGAGACATCTCACCCATGCTATTCTGGGAACTGGGGTTATGCAAGTAACCCAAAGTTTTCTGCAGCAGGAAACACTGCATCAAAGCACAGGACACACCTCAGTTCTGATAATGTTGATATGCGCTTTTTTCTTCCTTCAGTCACCAGATACTTACTCCTTCTCTAGTACACTTCCACGCAGGCACACATTTCAGCCCGAAAATACAGTGGAATTTGTAAAATGCAAACCAATGAGCACCCCAAAGAGTTAATTCTGTTCATCTTGACGTAGCAATGTCAGTGGGAGAAGCGTTTCTCAATTTGCATATTAATGATCAAGAAACTGACCTCATAGCCCATTGTTCATTCAGTGGGCTAGTTTCAGTCATTGTGCAAAGGTACTGTTTATATGGTTGGGGAAACCTGCAGTCAGCTTAGACTGAAGAAGTCACTTGAATGAGTGACGAAACATTTCTCCCACTGAAAAAGTTACGTCTAGATGAACAGAATCAGCTTTTTGGGATTTACTTAAACGGATGATTGAGCATGCATCAAGGCAAACGAATGAGCAGTTCAGTTCGCAAAACCTTTGCTTTTCTCTTAAGAATATTATGCTCATTATTAAGACAATAGTATTTCTTATGTGATTACTCAATAATTGATGGAGTACTTGATCACTAAAATAATCAATAACTGCGGCCCTGCTAACAAGTGCTTTCAAGAAGAGCATGTAAATGTTATGTCAATAACTGTACAGATTGGTGATGTGGTATTTGCAAATATGCATCCACCACACATTGCCTTTACCTGAACTCTCCAGTACAGAACTGCCTGTAAGAGATTATGAAACTGTTAAAGTTTGATTTCTGTTAACACATACTGTATATCAAACAACAACAAAGAAGATTATATCATATAAGGCTGTGAGCAGTCTGTGATTGTGTGACTTGTTCTCTACCGGAAGTTCTCAGCTGTCTTTGGAACCACATCAGCAAAGAGCTCAAACTTCATCCGTCCAACATCCTGTCAAACAGTAAAGCAAAGTTAACAATAATTGATCAACAGAATTATCAAAGTTCTCGCAAACTTTTTAAAAAAAACTAAAACAAGATAATAAGTTTGATGGGGTGGTCCCAATTGTCATGAATACACAACAAAATGTCAGTGCTTGGGAGGAAGAGAAGAGCAGACACATGGACAAATTTCAACTTTTATACTGAATATTTTAGTCAACTGAATCAAGTTTCTAATTAGTCTACTAAAATCTTATGACATTTAGGCAACAAAAGCCAGACAAAAACAAAGAATTTAGATGTTTAATTTAATGACTTAAACTAAATAATGTTTTAGTCAAAAGAATATACAAAACTACATCTAAATTTCAAGTCAAAATCAACACTGCAGTAAAGAAAACTACTGGTTAACCAACCAAAGGGTAACCACACAAAAGAATATACCGGTACCTCGCGGAGATTTGGCACCAGAACACAGAAACAGGTTATTCTTGTCTAAATGATAATGTTACACTCACTAACACCCTTTCAGAGGGAGCTGAAGTTACACTTTCTACTTTCTACTTCTGGTTTTTAATTTGTGTCGACTTCGCTGAACACTTTACATATTCGGCGAAGTTGAACATAACTACTGTTGTTTAAACAACACAAGCTCTGCTGTGTCTCAGTTTTGATGTCATGCAGGTGTGACAACAGAAATACTGAGATGCTACAATCTTGATGCAAAACGTCACTGGACTATAAATTATCTTAGCCTTGTATTTACATATATACATGTAAATAAGTGTGGCCATCTCTCCGCCCAGTTCTCTGATACTGTTGAATTCATGTAAGTGGCCCACTGTTACAACAATGTGTGCAAGTCTGTGTGAGAGAACAGTCTAACATTTGGAGTACAAGGAGCGGTTTGTCCTCATGACATCACTGCACAACTCGTCCTCCACTCCATGTGGACAAACCACAGTGGCCTCTAGATGTCCTGTGCTTGCCAGATAAAAGAGATAAAACAGTATGCTTAAGGTTTCCAGACAAAGAAATGAAATCAGAAATTGTGTTGATAAAGAACAAACAAGCACAGCACATTTTATCTGGTAAGGGTTTTCCCTTGTTGGAGTCTGGTTTCCCCTGACGTTTTGTACCCAACAATAGGTAAGACGGCTTTTAACTTTCTTTCTTAACAGTGGACTACTTTTGTTGTCATCCTATTACTAGGGTATCAACTTTCCAATATTATTTCCATTTCAAGGGATTTATGCTACTTGGAAAAACCAGGTCTCAAGTGCACCGACTTAGACATAAGGCCAAGGCTTTAACTAACAAACAATGTTGAAATTTTCCAATCCACAGCGAGCAAATTCACCACACCTATATTAACTGATCAGGAGGAGTAAAAGAAAATAATAACAATACCAAAACTGAGAATAAAACCACACAGCAAACTAATCAAGCCAAACCCGAGGCTACAGTGTTGACATAGTCCACATATCAACTTTGCAACAGGAATAATCACCAGTCTATTGTGGTCAAAGACAGACGAGTTGACATTTCTGTGAACCGCCATTCACTGGATCTTGAGTCCCAAGAAACGAGTGTAACTTGATATACATGAGGTGTAGGCAAACAAAATAATTTAAAGGGAGTAGTTTCAAACACACATTGTGAGCATTCACTGGTTGTCGTGGCTGCAGGACAATGCAAATTGATGCACCAGGAAGTCGTCACTTCCATGATACATGTGGGAGGGAAAACAAGCCGAGTTCTTGGAAAAAAAAAATAGAAGGTGTGCCTCATCAGGTGTGTGCATCAACAATGGGGAAGCAGGATCATGAAGAGTTGCCTACCTGCTCATAACAGTCAGGTCAGAAGCAGGACTTACATCACTAAACAAGAACTATCCACCTCTGCTGAAGCTTACGGGACTAATACAACACAGCATAGAAAGGTAAATTCAGAGCCATTTATTATTTCGTTCTCATGACAAACACAGGATTCTTCAATAGCAGAACATGATTTAAATCTAAAGGAACATAAAGTTTATGCGTGTGCTGTATTGTGCAGAAGTGATTCTGCGGTGGCAAACTGATTGGTCAGTTTGAATACAACACTTTAGCATGTCTTAAAATTACAACAAAAGGAGTTTACCATACCAAAATAACAACTGATGCTTATTTTCATTAGCGATTTCCCACTTTCTTAGGTATGTAGGTACATACAAGATAAGCAGACTGGTCATGTTAATCAATGAGGCCCTTACAATTTTTTCTGGGATGCACATCAAGCACTGTGAGAGAAACTGAGAATTTTTGCATTTGTTCATTTTTAACACTGCTTGGTATCTCGTTTCCTCTTTTAATCTAATATTTTAATATTAATAATTTACCAGTGCATCAAACGGATACACCCCAATTTATTTTCAGGGTGTATGGTTTGTAATCATCTCAGTCTTAGCGACCTGTAAGCAGGGTAACACAGCTTTTAAGCTACGACTACACCAAATTTGATAATGATACATATCTATAGTACTACATGAATGCATTTTGCCAGTCCACTGTGACCCCTTAACTGTTCAGACTTTACAAGTGCGGTGCATACTGTAATTATCAGGAGAACGTTTTCTAAAATGAAATTGAATGTAAACAAGAAAAGACATTTTATAACTTGCAGGAGAAAATTATCTTTATAGTTTAATGAACTTGAGATTCATACAATGTATATGTATTCCCTTTGGTGGAGTCTTAAAGCAGACCTCTAAAATACCCTCTTCATATAATGATCAAAGTTTAGAAATACAACGATAATCTGAATAGGGGCAGGAGCAAAGGTATTCAATAAAATAGATCTGCAACAATTTACTCAGTAACTCAATTATAAAATATCCTGAAGGCAATATTTTTTAATATGTTTTACAATTAATTATTAACATCTACACCAGGAGATCATCTGTAGCAGGAAAGATTGCAGCTACTGATTATTCTATCTATTATTCCTTCAATTAACCCTTTCATGCATAGTGGTCACTACAGTGGACAGCTACTCAAAGGCTGTTTTATTGTGTTTGTGTCAGTGTTGATGGTATACTTGCACATAAACTACTACACTGGATACTGATATGTCACTCCATACCTTGCCACCCACTGGTTGTTTAATATTACTATAGATGCATGGCATGTTTCATTGTAATTATCGTTATTTAACCCTGTCATGCATGAATCAGGATTTTTTTCTCAAGTATTTTTATTCATCTTTTCAAACTTGGTGTGTGTCTGTGTTTTTGTGCATGTGTGCACATTAACCTATGTTTCAGCGATCTAATGAATGTGCATGACTGCAATGAAGATAAACAAGTTTATCGACATTCTCAGAACTGAGGCGTGCCCTGTGCTTCAATGCAACTCTTCCTCCTGTACAAAACTGAAGTTTTGATGCTATAGATGTTAATAATTAACAATAATATTTCAGTGTCCAACCTAGCAGCACTGGGTCAGTGGCTCAGTGTGTTACATATTTATATTAATATAATCCAGAAAAATAATCCTACTAAAACCGTGAAATAAATATGATCCAACTCCACGCCCTTTAGACCCACACTGGTTGTTGCAGGTATTGCTGCCATATAATGTAGAACAGCGGCCAAAAGCCTACAGCAAGCTTCCTGGTTTAAAGATTATATCAAACTAACTTTACAGTTCATCTCCGTATTTTATGTTCTGTAGCTCTACTGTAGATTTTAACTGAAGAAAGCAGCAGACGGGAGTGGCGAAGTTCGCTTTTATTCATGTTGAAACTTGTTTATCGAGTGGTTTCAGAAAAGAGTCCCACAAGCTTTTTCCTAGTAAAGGTGTAATGGTGATTACAGGAACAAGCGCTGCTGTTTTGCAAGGCAGAACAATGTTTTCTTTCATTCCACGTGAGCTCACCGTCTCGCTAACGACCGCAACTCTTTGCATTAAACTATGACAGCATTGTCATCATTTCTGCTGTTGTGCTATCTAGGGGCAACATGGGTTTAAGACAGTATGCTTGCTGGTTAGTAAAAGGCAGACATCACAGCCCCCCCTACCAAATACCAAGTGTGTGGTTTAGGTTGTGATAAATAAGTAAAAATACAATGGCATGAAAAAAAAAATGTTTTTCCTTTTTCGTTAACTACCATGTTATTTTATTTTTATATTTATCTTTTATTATATTTTCTCCCCGTTTCTGTTAAATCAAATCAAAGTAGTGTTTTTTTCTCTTGTGAATATTTACTATTGTTCATTAATAAAGGCAAAAGTACTTCTTATCAGATGACTTGATTAATTGATAGAATACTCAATAACTACAATAATCAATAGCTGTAGCCCTAGAACAGAAGCCCTAGAAGAGTCAGAAAATAGGTGGTTTCTCACCTTGCACTCACAGCTAAAAGCTCTTTTGTGGGGTTTTTCTCCCGTATAAGCTTTCATCATGTCTATACAATTTCTGCTGTCTTTCACAGAATTTCCTGGAACATCTGAACACTGCAGTCCAAGTCAAATGCTGCCAGAGTTGCCATCTTTGTTTGACACAAGCCACACTTTCAGAATGATGGCCATTATACATGAATGGGAGGGCATGTCTGCCAGTCACACAGACAACACTGGAAAGTATGTTTCACTTTTAATTTCCAAAGCAGGCCTGGAAACAGTGATCTTTTATTTATGGTGTCAAAAACGGTACACCATCTTTATGAGTGCGTGCAGCCTGTCCATCATACTGGCTGACTGGCTGATGACCATTTTAATGGCAGCTGTGTGGTTACTGGGTCCTGTCCACTCATTTACACCCTGCCTCATTTTGACTAATGCCTCAGCAACATATGCAGCATTACCACTGCCCATGATATGCCTGAGTTTAATGGACTACCTTTTAAGAGACAAAGCTCTTAGCAACGGCAGAGCCTTCTTAAAAACCCTCGGAAATATACTCCTGACACTTCTCGTGTGGCTGCTAGCTTTTATGTGCTCTTTTAGCCATGCTGATGCTAAACTGATGGATATGAGTTGCGGCAAAAGGTTGAAGAAAGCTCTGGTGTGTGAAGTGCAGGAGTCAAAACTGGTGATCAACTTCATTGCTGGGATTTTCACTGCAATCCTTTTAGCACTGCTACCATTTTGCTCACATATTCCCCAGTGGGTAAGAGATGCTGACAAGTTCTGTGAAGCAGAGGAAGAACAAGAGAAGGTGGGGAACAACTTGCTACTCACTTCAACCCTCTGCCCAGAGACAAAAGGTGATGAAAAGAGTTACCTGACACATACAATCCACCATCGACCGCCTCTCTGGATCAGTCTAATACTGGGCTTTGCCACATTCTGGATGCCTTTTCTTGCTATGTCTCTGGCCTGTTTGGTTTTTGGCCTTGGAGTACCTGCATACATCTCTGTTAACCTGTTGTGGCTGGAATGCACCAACAGTTTACTGCTGGGTGTGCTATTCTGGGTAAAGAGCAAGACTCTAGGGCCACACACCAATTTACCAGAAAATCTGTGCTCATGGCACATTTACTGGCATATAAGCACAGAAATGCAACCCGAGCTGATGGTTCCTGAGCTCAACCCATCAAAAGAGAAGAGAAATACTTACAATGTGTAAGAAAAAACCTGAAAGTAACAGACATCATAAGCCTAGATGGAAAGTCAAACTCATTGTACAACGTGGGCCACATACAGCAGACTTTGATGCTAAGTGCATCGAATCCCTATGCATGGGACAAGTTTTTCTATATGATAAAGAAATATTGCTGTAGTAAATAAAAGAAATCTGTCAACACAGCTGGACTTAAAGTGTAAGAAATGTATAACATTACAGAAAGGTTTTGGCAGCTCATTGGTCAGACTGTCCTGTAATTATAAACAGAGTTTATGTTAATTCAAAGAAAATGTCATTTTTACCCCCGTCTAGGTTTTTGATAATGTTTGTATATGTAAGCATCATTCTGTCTTTAAACACACTGACTGAAAAAGCTTTGAATAGCAAACTTTGTAGGGGTCTAGAATGAGGTCCTATTAACAATCTATTCAAATCTGACTATTCAAGGTCAGCTTAATGTTTTATTGGTCAAAAATTGCCAAACAGACTTATAACTTAGAAACTATGACTGTTAAAGTTGTGATGTTGCAAACATATACAAACAACAAAAAAGGTTAAAACTAACTCACATTTGACCTCTGACATCATCTTTAAGATAAATAGATTCATCTGAAGGTCAATGTGCTAAAGGCCGTTTTAAAATATCTTACAGCCACTGTTTGCACTGCCAGCATAAGCGATATAGGTTACCAGAAGTTTATATTATATTTACTATACTATGTTTTAAAGCAAGTACTTTAAGAATTAAAAAAGAAAAAAAGAAATAATAACATATTACACAAAATACAATACTATTCTAATAAAAGTAAATACTGCTCAGAGTGTGATCTGCCTTGGTGACGGTTTCCACGTTGAGTGCTTCTTGGTTTATTGGGGCTTTTTTTGGTTTTTGTATTTGGATTTTTTTTTGTTTCTTTTTTATTTTATGTAACCGTAGCCCCTTCGTAATAGTTGTTGTAATTGTAATTTTTTTTTCTTCTTTATCTATTAGTAAATTGGTGTAGTATGAATGGCAATTCACCCCTGGTCTACACTACAAGAAACGTGATGTGATGAGCCACTAAGAAAGTTTCACCTGTGTCAATGCTGCAGGAAATGTCTACTCTACTCTAAGTTACACACCTGATGCCATGACTGAATGATTGATTCTAATTTATTCCTTCTTCTGTTAGAATCAGGTGACATCATAAAATTTTATTTTACAATACCTTCTTTTTCCCTCTTACCACTCCTGCTGCTTGACTGTTTTGTACAAATCAAAAAAGGTACAAAGTTTCTTCTGGATGTTCATGAACATCATTAAATATGATCAGCAGCTACAATGGATGTAATCTTTTTTCTATCATATGTTATTTCCAAGTTGGAGAATAAACTTAAACTTGACTTAAAACTAAGCTTTTAATCCGACACTGACGCCATCTGCTGACGAAGCTGAGATAACACAACTGAACGCACTGCAACACCAACACTGACCTCACAGTGGCATTTTGTAATTGGCTGTAACTAAAATACATCTTTTCTTTACTTAACCATATCATAATAATAAGGCTGTTTATTATAAGTAAAGGGGTCTCATGAAGACTTTTTTCTTTTGTTGTAATTATTTTAGATGACAGATGTGTCCTGAAAACTACAATATGCTGGTACACGTAGTACAAACTTCATACCACCACCATTCTATGTAAAAACAGTCGCTACTAGCACTACTGACATTCTCCTTTCTTAGGCTAACATATTTTTTTCTCAAAGTCTTAAGCAAACCTAAATATGGAACAATCTTCAACTAGAAAATTCAGGAAAATGAATTAAAAAAAGAGGACTTAACTAACATGTTAACATAATATGGTACTTAGAGTCTGTATATTATTTTAATGCTTTCAAAGGCAAGTTATGATAATAGCGGTTCATTTTTAATGTTAAAGGGAACTTCTGTCACTTTCATTAAAAAAAGAAAAAAAATATGACTAATCAATGCGAGAGTCTCAGACAATGAACCATCATTAACCAAAATAAAAAATTAAAGATAAACATAGAAAATAATTCTTGGTCTCTCTGTATTAAATAGCTTTTGTCTTTTTATCTTTTCTCTAATTTCTTTTTACATTGTTCCTGCTTCATTATGCAACTGGGGGCGGTGTCTTTAAAGGAGCTCATGGGATCAAATTTCCACCTATTAGTTATTAAGGGGCAGGCTCATAAAGCACCACAGAAAAAAGCTAAAAATAATATTGACTTTCAGGACTATTTACTTCTTTTTAAAACTCTAAAAATATATTAAATAAATCTGTCTAAAAATACATTAATACATAATGTAAGCTTGAATGGCAATGCCAATAACACTTGATGCAGAAAGAAGTAAAATACATATTAATTTATAAATACTTGTATTTCAATACACACACTCGCATACATATATAAACTTTGCACAAACAATATTTGTGATTGGTCAATTACTTCTTTGTTGTAATGATTTTTTTGGCACTAAATCTTAAACTGTCAGAAATCCTGTTTATTTGCCCTTAAATGGTGCCACATCTATAAGGAAAATGCTTTTGTGGGTTGAGCAGCAGGTAGAGTAGGTCTTCTTTTTCAATGCCAAACAGCTTATTCTGCTATTGATTCTAGTTTTGATTCTCAGGTAAAGGAGGTCCTGGCACTCAGGTGCCATGGGCAAATGATTAGAAGCACCCATAAGCAAGAACAGTGATCAGATGTTGTCTTTTCCAAGCATGCTGTGCTTGACTGCTCTAGATATGGCAACTTCAAGATGGCGTTCTGCAAAACAAGCAATACTTAGTGTAAGCAATACCGAGTGAGCCCTAGCCCCCTACCATCTCCAAGTTGAAGGCCAAGATCCGTATAATGGGGGATGACAGAGACGGTGGCGAAGTGTGCATCTGAGGGCAACAAGACCACACGAAGACCGTTTCCTTACCTGTCACCATAACAGTATGTGACCACCATGAGGTGGAGGTGCCAGGTTGGTGTGGCTGTGTATGGGTCTTCCACATGCTACTGAGGCTGCTGTTTGTTCAATGAATAAATTGTTAAATTGCCAGGATGTATTGATTCTTCAGATTTTAATCATCCAATCTGATAAATGACACTAAATAAAAGTGAAACGCAAATAAGATATTTGGCATTGGAAAAGATTTTAATGGGCACAACCCACATACAAAATTCTCCTTCTCAAATCACAAATGTGGTACCATTTAAGTGAAAATAAATAGGCCAAGAAGCATTGTTACAGGATAATCCCCAAGTTTACATACACACCAAGTCTATACAAGTGTGCGTGTGAGAGACATATCTAAAGTTTTCAAAAAGTCATTTTTCCAAATGCAGCTTTTTCCACGGTGTCAATAGATGAATAACAGTCACATAACAAATTTATCGTACCATACTGATATGCATTTAGTTGCGAGGGTTATTCTTTTGAACAACATCGGGATATCTTCGATTTGAAGTCAACGTGCTTTCTCTGTCCGCGTCAACATTAGTTCAACAAACTCACCCGTATATAATGAAAAGGATTATAAATGTTTTGCCTCCCTTATTGTATATAATGTACATCAGGTGTGCATGTTTTACAACAAGGTCGTTTAACAGGGTTTAACCAGACTATGAACTTTATTGTTGCCACTGATGTGACGCGGTAACGTTGCCCGGTTAGCTTCAAAGTGTCTTTATGATGCTACTCACCTGCCCTCCAATGGTAATGTCGAAGAACACAACCGGGTTGTTGGGGTTTGAGGCTTGAATCGACATTGTCGTGATTTACCCGCTTTCTGAGACAACAAAATGCAACGTTTGGCTATTTACACAGCAATCATTTGAACCACGATCTGCGCTGTCGGAACTACGGCGTCTCGCGAGAGACGTGCTACAGATCCCTTCTGCGGACAAAAGACTTTCGTCACCAAAAGCGCGATTGTACGGAAATAAATGATAATGGCGACATGCCTACTGATAGCAGCGTAACAAATGAACAGTTTATTTAAAAAAAATAAATAAAAAAAAAAAGGCTGAATTTGTCTTTACTTCTACCTAAAAAACTGTCAACGAAATTACTGCATTTAGTAGTCCTTTCCATATCAAATTCATTAAGTGAGTATCAACTGGTAAGGTAAAGGTCTGGAACTTAGTTTTTCTTTTATTAAAATCTATACCATCTATAATCTCAAATCTATGCTTATAAATACAGCAGCAAAAAACCTTTCACACGGGAAATTTCCAATTTAGACTAATTATACAATACAAAATGAAAATGTTGGGGGTGTAAATCACTTGAATTCCAGAGTGTCAGTCCTGCTCTGGTATCTGACATTTGTGAAGAACATCACATAAAGCTGTCATGGGCCGCATCCTTAAAGGAGGGAAGGGAAAAAAAAAAAAAAAAAATCACTGTTCACAAAAGTCCAGGAAAACTGATAATCTGACCTTCACCAAAAAACAAAGCCTTGTCTGATGGGTGCAGTAGGTTTCATGTGGCTCTAGCAAGGGCTAAGAGGAACTGTGTCGGCCAGGATGTATAGAGATGTAGCTGCATGACTGTAGTTCAGACAATATTTTAAGACAGCATTATAAATGAAACCTTATATACTTAAGCGAGGCTCCCAGTCTGAAGAAGCTTTGGAAGTGGGGAAGTTTCCAAAACGAAAATGATCCCAGACAGACCGACAATTACCAAAGTTGTTTTAAAGAAGAAAAAGGAGAAAGTTATGACAAAGTATGTCCCTGATCTGAATCCAGCAAAATACATTTGAAGAAATTTGAACTGTAAGGCAGAGGAACAAAAGTCATACAGAAAAAAATAGCTTTACTAATTTTGACACCTTTGTGGGAAAATGTTTCTGTTAAAGGTTTTATTTTCACAATAAAACAACATTTTTACAAATTAACAAATTGCAAAGACTGCGCCACAAAACAAATGACCAAATGCAAATTGACTGCAAAGATTTCTCAAAGTTGTTCTAACTCAAGGTGAGAAAAAAAAAAAAAATAGCAATACAGGTTGTCACAAACTCTGCTGTGCAAGCAGGCAGATAAGTACTAGCAATAGCAAAAAGCTCTAAAGAAATTGTTTTATGTAAAGTAATAAGGTTTCTTCACATTCACACCATATTCTGCGAGGGCAGGAGTCAGGTCCTCCATAGTCAATGTGTACTTCTTATCCTATACACGGGAGGAGGAAGAAAATTATCAGGAACAAAAATAACTGAAAGCAGATGAAACCTTCCTCTTCTAGCAACACTCACACAGCGCTCTCTAAATATTGTACATCATATTTAAAGTGCCTGTTAAAATTAGACAAGCTTACCTTTGTCTTACTTCTTGAGCTTCCTGAGGCAGTGCCTTTCATTTTGCAGTACTGCAGCGCATCATTGGCAATGTCTGAGATAAATTTCTGAGATGCGAGGGAGATCAGACGAATTCTATGCATGGAAAAAAGAAAATAACTAATGACTTCTTCCCTTAATGGTTTACAGCCTATCTGTATCCTTACTTTGAAAAACACCACACACATAAACCTCAGATTTTCTCTGATCTTGTTCGGAGTGATCACAAAGCTGACATTAAAGAGTCTTACAAGGTTAGAGATATTGCATTTTGGTTAAAAGGTTAAAGCCAGTTTGTTTTAAGCAAATCTAATCAGCCAACACTCCCTTTAATATCAGAAAGCACAGTGCTACCTGACTAATACAGTATTAAGATAAGAAATGCTGTATACCATTGGGAAATTCTTTAAATTAAGCAGGAGCATAGAAATATTTGACAATACAGTCATCTATTTGTGACTTCAACATGTTCCCAATGCCAGATTACATTAATTTCCGACTCATTCAGTGCCTTGAACTCGGGTTTTTAATGGTGAACTCATATTATATAAAGGCTTTTAAGTCATAGGTTTGTTAAGTAAATTGGTGGCTATCAATCAAACCTCTGAATGTACCAACTGAGCAGCCTTATGATTTGTGCTGTTTGTTTTATTAGTCACACTCATATCAGGATTATGTACTCCTCCATGCGTGCACACTGACAGACACAAAGCTGTTCCTAGTATACAATTTCCCAGTCTATTTAAAGGACACATGTATAGGTGGAGCCTTTTTGCTGTATTTAATGTCTAAACTGACAAGTCCATGACATTAGACCAGAATTGAGTGTACTCACATCCTTGGATCAGAAGCCTCAAAGCCAGCCCGGTTGAGGTAGTAGCCTGTGACTGCATCAGGAATCTGATGGGGGGGGGG